CTCATTCTGATTCTAGTTATTTTTATTTCATTTTAGTAGTTTGTTACATGTTTAGTGTTGCCGATCTTTTACTTGTTCATGTCTCATATGCTAATTTCCCTCAGTGCATTTTTCATCCAGTATTTTCACTGTTAAGGTGACTTTGTCTTTTTTATTATTTTTATTTTATGTGTATGAATGTATTGCCTACATGTATGTGAGTGCACCTGTGTCATGCAATGCTGCGGAGGTCAGAAGAGGGCTTCAGATTCGCCTGGAACTGGAGTTAGGGACGGTTTGTGGTCCTCTGCAAGGGCAGTCAGTGCTCTTAACCGCTGAGCCATCTCTCCAGCCCTAATTTTGTCTTTTTTATAGCTCCCATATCTCAGCATGCTCAAATCTCTTCAACCTTCTTGAATATGAAGTATATTCATACAGTTTTGTTCTGTAATTCTATCATCTATTTCTGCCCATTGAATTTTCTCCTCATGATGGTATTTCATTTCCCTGCTTTGTGCACCAGGCAATTTTGGTTCTGATGCACTCTGAATTTTAATTGTTGGGCAATGACTGATATATATGCATACATATACTGTGCATACACAAATAACATATACTGCCATAAATATGTATTTTTTTTTGTATTAGGGCACAACTAAGTTATTTGGAGACATTTTAATCTTTTCAAGGCCTTTTAAGTCTAGACAGGGCCATCTGAGATTTAATGGCTTTTTGACCCCACACCAGACAGTTCTTGTCCATGCTGTCATCCAAGTGCTGCAGCAATTACTAGCTGCTCTGCCCTTGGTGTTGAGAAAGTAAACTACCCTGGCCTGGGTGACCACCTGTAGCTGACCCACCTGCTCCTTTCCAGTTCTTCACTTGGCCTGGGTACATCTGCAGTTGACTGATCACACTAAAGACCTCAGCAGGGCCTTTTGCTCTGCAATTCTTGTCTCGGCTTCCTCAGGCTCTCCCTTGTTCAATTTGAGACTGATGTGTTTTGGGGTTCCCTGGCTATGGTGTGGTCTGAAAGCCTCTTCTGATGAAAAGCTAGAGCAGCTTTAGGGCTCAGATTTATCTGACACTGTGTTATGTGCTTCTTCTCCAATGTCTGAAAACTTTCCAAACGTTTTTTGGTTTAGTCCCTATGGCTTTATCTTGTCTAGAAGTGAATGGCTGTTGGACTCTAAATGGTCTACCAATTTTTCTACCCAGTATTTAGTAAGTATATCCTACATTGAGACAGGCCCTGTCCTGGCTAGTATATCCTCCCCTCCTAAGTCTCTGGAAGTTACAAAGTCCTGCATTCACAGTGAACAACTTTTCACTAGCATATTTTTTCCCTAAGAAAACCCTACTCTTACGGTTTTGGTCGGGCTCCTAATTGCCCAAAAGACATAGCACTAACTTTAAAGTGAATTACTCACTGAAAAGGGAAAGACATATGCTTGACGCATATGTTGTTTGAAAACTCAAGTTAGGAACTAAAGACACTGCTCTTTCTGAGAAAGAACTCATAGCTCACCCTGGTGTCTCAGTATGGCAGATGATTCAGGTGCATACCATTCTCCGTGAGATCAGAAAGGGGGCCTCCAGCAAAAGCAATGGCAGCTTTATGACTGGCTGTGGCCTATGCTAAACTTTGCCATGCAAGTACATCAAGAACTAGAGGCTATTCCTGAGCCAGGGAAATTAAAAACAAAAAGCAAACAAACCCTATATAATCCATATCCTTCAGTGGTTGTGATGAGGTATTTTCAGAATTACTTCCACATAATTTGGCCCATATAATCGATATCCTTCAGTGTGTGTGTTGAGAGATATTCAGAATTACTTCCACATAAATTGTATTTTGTGTGTGTGTGTGTGTGTGTGTGTGAGAGAGAGAGAGAGAGAGAGAGAGAGAGAGAGAGAGAGAGAAACAGGGACATAAAAATTGGTACCTGAAAGCTCCAGTGTGATGGAGGCCAGGCTCACATTTAGATAAAAGGATGAAGCTTATTTGTAAGCACATGAAAGGAAGCAAGACATCTTTTAAAATTAAATTAATTTGGTCTTATGAGAATAAGCACTTTATTAGCTTCAAGCTTTGCTTCTTAAAAACTAAGCTTCGTGCTATCCTTGGTATGCCTGAAGACTTTAGATCTGTTGTCAGAGTGGCATGACATGCAGGTGGCCTGGCACTGGCCTGCAACTCTCACAGGTCCTTTACCCACCCACTACTCCTCGTCCATCTAGAATGGTGGCTGTACCATCCACCTTTCTTGATACTGTTTACACAGTATTTATTTATATTGCAATCTTTTGCACAGTACTGTGGTCAATGAAATCTTTTTGCCAACTTGTCATACTTTCCTTGCAGAAGAGGGAATGGGGACATTACAGAATTAACAACGTTTAAGTGACTTGACCAGTGTCCCAAGTGCAAGGATCTAGTCCAAAACAAAAGGCTAGTAAATCCAAATTCAGTGTTGCTGCGTGCTAGAGTGTGCCGTGCACCTCCCTACAGGGCTGCTGGAGAATACTGAAGTCCTGAGGCTAATAATTTATGGTTTCCATTCTGCTTCACTCAGCACTTCCTAGGGCATGTCGTTTGTATGTAGCAGAAAGTTTTTTCCCAAAGAGGCAGCAGGATCCAGGGCACACGACTGCCTGGTCTAGCATTCTGGAGGTGATGAGAATGGAGGCTGTGGTCTTACAGCTCTTCTGTTACTAACTGGTTTCATTTGTTACATTGCTTAATTGTACTTCTGAAAAAAAGCATCAATCAACTGGTAATGGAGAAGAACACACACAGTTGCTACAGAAAAAGTTCCTGGGGTTTGGTTTGTAAACATTCAGTTCTGATAGGGGTGTGTGTGCTTGAGTTCAGTGTCACTTTGGTCAGGAGCAGGGGCTCAGGCTTCAGCCTTCCAAACAATTACATGCAGTCAGCTATGGAGTGGCATCCTGACATGACCAAGGCTTAAATGGAATTTCTTAAACTGAGGGTTAAACAGTGATTGAATCTGTCATGACCAAATCATGAAGAGAGCTTTTTTTTTTTTTCCTTTGCAGTACTGGAGGTTGATCCCAGAGCCTCACATATGGTTGGCAAATGCTCTACCACTAAACTAAATTCCCAGCTTTTTTATTTTTTAACGCAAATCCAAAAAAATTAATTCACTAAAGGCCTAATATCACCTGCACTCTAAGCCCCTTTCTCAAGCTTTCTGATGAAAACAAATGACTAAGTTAGGTCTCTCTCGTGTTTCATGTGATCAATAGTACTTCCACTACCATCTACTCGATGTTAAGCCAGCTGGAGCAGTGCTGACTTGATAAAGCACATACAACGATGTCAAAGGTAGGCAGAAAGCTGGGCTGGCGCTCTAATACCACAGAGTGGTTAGCGGCAATGAGTTCAGAGTATCAAATGTGGATCTGTGGTGACCGCTGTGAGGTGGCGGCTCTGAAGCATGGACTTCGACTTCATAGTCTGTGGTAGGTGTCCTTTCAGTGTATGAAATCACAGTGACTAGTTTCCTTTGAGACTGTATGCACATAATGCTGCTTGCTCTTCACCGAAGTCTAGCATAAAGTACACATGTACATTTTTTAATGTGAACAAAATTATCAAGGGAAAAAAGTATATAAATAAGTTTTCTTTTTCTTTTTACTGTATAAAAAGGATTTGCTGTGAGTCTGCAGGTCATCTTGTCCAATCCAAAAGCTGTATTTAAGCGTCGTGGATCCCAGCCAGGAATGCAAGAATCTGACTTTCTAAAGCAGATAACCACAGTCGAAGAACTGGAACCCAAAGCAAATAACTGCACCAAGGTACTCATTCATTTCACTCATGCTTCACCTCGAGTGGCAGTGTTGATAGAGGCTACTCAAATCTCTCCCCCTCTGTAGGTTCTTGTGTGGCACACTCGGACAGAGAAGGTCAATCTAGCCAATGAGCCCAAGTACCACCTGGACACAGTGAACATTGAGGTGTAGACTCAAGTAGCAACTGGAACAGTTGCCCATTCAGTGGGGTGTGGAAGAAGAAGATTGGAGTTTAGGCTGCGGCTTATTCAGGTATTGTTCCTTTTACTTCAGTACAGCAGCCTTTACTGTTAGCTGACGGACATCTGTCTACACAGAGCTTGTCAGTTAGCATACGCTAACTGGATGCTAAAAATGTCTTCATTTGTTCTGCATGTATTTTCTACAACTTCACTGGAAGATTTTTTTGTAAAGCTGAATGATTCTGCATATTATCATTCTGAGTATCTTATGTACTGCTCCTTCCCTCTCAATTCATCTTATAACTGGTAGAATGGAATAGGCATTAGAACTTGTGCTAAAAAGTTGTACAACTAAATATTCCCAATTCTCAGCTTCACAAGTGGCAGTATACATTGTAGGAAATAAAACCCACAAATAAAAAACAAAGTATGGATTCATCTGTTTAATATAGGGAAATAACATTTTGTCAATACTAGGCACCATAAAATGTAAACACAATTACTGTCATAAACCTGGATATACCTTCAAGGATTAAAAGTGGCTTTGTTTTAGTTACCCTGTTTTCATATAGTGCAGAAAAGGTCTTCATGTTAGCACTATGTACATAAGAGATCCAAATTACAAGAGGCTGATAAAATTTGAATTCTTTAAACATTAAGTTTTATAGTAACATCCAGGTTTATCTTCCTTTCACTAACCACGTTCCCTGTTAAGCACATCATAACAACAGCACAGTGAAGTGAGTGATGAAATAAAAGAATTTTGATACACTTAGAAAACAGTGCTCAGTGATGCATTTACATTCTATTTATATGATTAAACATTTGATCATACAGTACCTTCCTACAAGATTACTGGCTAATTTGGGGTGGGGTTTATACTGTTAGAGGTATTACTAACATGATAACTACTTCCCTTATATGCAAACATTAGAGCAATAATTTTGAGACTAAAACTGATTATGCAAGTTGACTGAGCAGCTTCTCAATGTGGCTTATGAAGTCATGGGAAATGTGAGCAAAGCTGCCCTTGACAGAAAATGGTTTCTCAACCTGCTTTCACCACATCAAATTTAATCAGTACAGACCAACACGGTCAATCAGGTAATTCTTAATATGAAGAAATGGGGGAACAGAAAATAATATATATGTACATGAATAAACAGGGGAACTAGATGCGTTTAAGCGAGGAATGTCAGGTGGTAGTTCTGGATGAAACTCATATTGCAGCTCTCATTTCCACAGCTGTGTGCTCAGAGTCTGACCCGATGAGCTTCCAGACCATCCTGCTGTTGTGCTGGGGGGCTGGCCAAAACTTGCAGTGGGGTTTGCACTAGTCAGACTCATGCCAGCCATTTGCTGATTCACCTGTGAAACAGACAAAAGGCTTAGATTAAGAGGATTCTTTCACTTCATTCTTTCTTCTTTAGCCACAGTTGGATATTTGTTACTAATGTGAAAATCAGTCAAAGCACTGGGGAAAAAGCAGACTGATTTATAAGGACTTCTTTACAGAAACCAAACAGCTATTTTGTTCCTCGATATTTTTTCCCCTTCAGTTTTTAGCACTGCTTATAAATCTCAATCATATTTAGTTCACTTTCTAGATTCATTTTTTAATCCCCAAATATTAACCACAACTGAAAAAAAATACCTTTGAATTTGTGTCCATCACTCAACAAGATATTTGTGCTGTGACTACTACAGACTGAGATCACTTTTAAAAAAAGTAAAATATTCCAAAAGTATCCTATGAAGGTTACAAAATATAAACTCTCTACTATTAGCATCTTAAATCACTTTATATACTTGGAGGGGCAAGAATTACCATAAAGCACAGTAAGTTCAAAACCTATACTCTGTGTTAACTGCGTTCTTTCTGCAGTTTTTTGTTGTTTTTTTTTTTCTCTCCTCAACGTAAGATAACCACACTGATCAGATGTGGGGAAGGGCAGGCAAAGCATGACTTCACACCTGCTCAGATGTTCTCATGGTCCTGCTGACATGGCAGCTGCTCTTCAGCACTCTAGTAGAAGAAGAGGCCTATATTAACTCTTCACGGCTCAACCTGTGCTTTTTTAACCTGAGCTGAGTAAGCCTCAGCATTTTAGCCATACAAAAGCTGTTACTAACATCTGGCATTTTCGAGCTTTCCAGTGGGTAGAGACCAGTGTCATACATTTTTTTTTTTTTTTTTGTATCATTGTTCATAGGAATATAGCTCAAAAGCACTTGTGGGTCAGTAATCACTTCAGACGCTTCCCTTAATATTCTCAAAGTATAACCATTGATTAGAAACCAAAAGCACTAAGCTGTTTGGTGGGTCATTATGTAGGAAGGGGAATGGGAATAGGAATCTAAGTCAAAAGACGTCGTTTAAGGAGCTAAACAAAAGTCAAACGGACTGGAGAGATAGCTCAGTGGTTAAGAAACTGGCTGCTCTTGTAGAGGACCTGGATTCTGTTCACAGCATCCACACGCTATAACTATAACAACTATAACTCCCCAGTTCCAGGGGATCTGATGCCCTCTTATGATCCCTGTGGGCATTGCATGACATGGGTGCACTTACATACATGCAGGCAAAGCCACTCATACACATAAAAATAAAATAGCACTTAATACAAAAATGTTATTGCTTGATTTTAAACTAATACATATGAAATTTTATATGGGAACATCTGTGATAAATAGGGTCTGGTAATCTCATGGAATTATTGAGCCAAAGATTTTTACAAATCTTTGGTCAGTAACCACATGACACGGAAGAAAGCCTTGTTCCCGCATAAAATTGTGTTTGAGAACAGAAACTGATTTCTTTCACATTGGTGAATTAACCAAATTAAAACTCAAAATTACTAGTGAAGATAGACTTATCTAAGTGGACTATCAAACCCCTCCCTCAACCAAGAGGCTGAGTAAAGTGTGGTACTAAGCCTCATAAGTGCCAGATGGGAAGTCTCAAGCTGTCCAAGATAATTTTCCAGATAGCAAAGACTAGGAATGTTCACCATGACAATTTCATTATTGTCTGAAATGGGAAAAAAAAATCCTAAAATTTATTTATAGAATAAAAATAAAGACAGTGGCAAGGCATTTGTCTATCTAATAAAACCCCATGATACCTACAAATACTTTGAACTGATAGAGCATTATTCTTACACAATTCTTCTGCTACATCATGAGATTTAAAAAAATACTAACTCAGAAAATAAAGATGATTGATGAGAGAAGATGGAAAGTACATGACCCCTACCTGTGAGAGGTTCCACTGAGGCTGTTGAGCTTGTGGCAGGCCAAACTTACTCTGTGGTGTACCCAGCTGTCCCACTATTCCTCCTTGGGGACCAATGACATTTTGAGGAAGTGGCATCACTCCAGTTTGTGTACTTCCCATAAACCCATTGGGCATAGGCATGCCCACCATCATGCTTGTACTCTGTCCCATTACATTTCCTATAAGGCCAGGAGCTGCAGGCACTGGTATGCCCATCGAAGGAAAACCTTGAAAAGCAGTCGCTGCTTGTGAGGTAAATGGTATATTTGTGGGTCCCATAAACACACCTGTATAGTGATAACCATGAATTAAAAAAAAAAAAAAACAAGAAAAGGGCTATTGCATCGTATATGGCTACAAACACAAAAAGAACGAATTTCCTGATCTACTTATAGCAGAAATGTTCATTCCAGGATGAATGCTCAAAACAATCCACACCTAAATCTTAAGAGCCAGTTATTTCTAGAATGCAGACAAATGGATTATTAATCTGAACAAATTTAATTAGAAAATATAACCTTACAATAGCTACTCAAAGTATTTTCTATTGTGAAAGCCAAAGCTCACAGCCTGAGGATAAATGCTATTTCTGCTGACTTGCACCACTGGTGTCCCCAAACCAACTAGACAAGTGAGAGGTGACCATTTGCCTTTATACGAAGTAGGTGAGTAGTAACATAGTTTCAGTCTATATGGGAAATGAACTTATTTTGGAGGAAAGGGTCTGATAGATTAAGTTGAATAATCTTATGCTAATATTTCACTATAATGGCAAAACATTTCCAAGTTTTGGAATCTGTGTGTAATCCGTTCTGACTGCTTATTGTTTACCTGCAGGGAATATACCGTGCACAGTCATAAACTTCATGTAAATCAAATTCCAGTAATTCTTCAAAGATAATCCATGTCCTATAAACTTGTAAAACAATAATGCTATGTGAACAGCTTGTTAAGTCTTAAATGAATAAAGTTTTGTGATTCATGTATTTTTTAATTCTAATGCTTCATTCATTTCAGAGTTATGTAAACTTCAGGATAAGCACCCACTACCACAGGAAAGTGTAACTGATATAATTTCCAAGGATATACTCTATAATGCTACTGTCATTCACTGGAAGCAGATTTCAAAATTAATCACCAGGAGTGCTCTGCTGTTGGATGGTTCCTGTACCATACAGAGATAAGATGGAGTCTTTGGAGAGCTGTTTCTTTGCTGCTTCTTCTGGCTTTGTAGTCTGCTCAGTGAACAGGTCCAGATCTCCAGATGTTACTGTAGACAAGGCAGCAGCTGGTGGTACAGAGGCAGTCCCCTGAGACAAACACCAAAATAAACCGTTGAATTCTACACAGTACATAGAATAGCTCATCTGTTAAAAGTCCAAATAAAATTATGAAATTAGGAATGAATTAAGAGGTAAAATGATGACATCTAAGATCACTTATAAGTTCACACAAAGCATCTAGGTTAAGGTGCAATACTTCCTAATTTAAACCTGTTAGCGGAAAAGAAGGAGACTTATGTTGTTTCATAGCCATATTCAGGGCTGGGATGAAAGTTTTTGCTTATCACATCTTCAACACAATGGGGATGACAATCTGCAGAAGCTATCTGAGTATACTGCTTTGAGAAGTGTATCCTTTGGAATAAAGAATGCTACAACTAGCAGAGACGAGGTTTTTGCAATGGTTGATTAAAAGGTTTGTTTACCTTTTCAAAAGCTACACTGTAAAAATCTTATACACCTATTCTAGGTTCATTTTAACACTAGAATGCTTCTAATTCAGAAATGAAGTACAGCAAAACTTTACTTATACATTCATATCCTACATGCCATTTGAAGCCAAATCACAAATATTTAGATATTTAATATAAAACAAAAGTTTTCATTTAGCGTACATATCGTACACAAAGACAGTACTGTATAATCACAACTGACAATCTTGCTTAGTGATAAAAGCTGGTTAACATTTTTCTCAAACTATAAATTTAGGTGAGTAGAAAGTGGAAGATAAGTTCAAACATTAATGTCCTGGCTAGAGCACCATGTAATAAATTACTGTCCAAACATTTTATCCAAATTCATTTAAGGAGAACCATATTTTGAATCTACTATGACTGAGCAAAACTTATGAAACACATGGAAAAAACTCTCTTATTTTTCAAAATCTCTGAAATACGTAAGAAATTAGATATGACAGAATACCAAACCTAATAATAATCTTTAATTGACTATATCTCAGTAACCAGCGAAAAAGTATAGGATCACAGAGGCTAACAGCATGGGTCATAGCCAGCCTGGCAAGACTGGACCCCCTACTCAAAGACTTAGGATAGTTTGCCCTAAGATATGTTTGTCATCTGACACCTCTCCTATGAAATGATAGGTTCAGTAACCACAAGGGCTTTACACAGGGTTAGCTACTTAGTATTTACTGTTAATACTGTTAGATAACAAAACAACTATATCATTAAGTGATCTTCACATCAGTTGCTGTGTAACATAGGAATCTACTCAATACCTTGGGCTCTATTTTCCCTGAGTAAGATTTAATCATGAAGAAACTCAAAATGGTGGAGAAACTTTAATTCCTGTGTTATAGTACAGCAGTCCAACAAACATGATCTAAATACATTTCTTTTTATGACAGAAAACATGGAGCACCTACTCAACAGACACTGTCTAAACAGCATAGCTAGCAAGCACTCAAAAGTCTGCTTACATCCCAGGGCTAAGAGAAGAACCATGTTTGCCTGTTTTATAATTCAGGCTTTCTGGCCTTTTGGGAATCCCAAAGCTGAACCGTAGACCGGTCCCAGCACTTATGCAGTCTACATACTCTGTGGGGTGGGGGGGATTGAAGGATGGATGGATTCTGGTTCTGGAAGCCCCTCTCATCTTCCCCATACATGTATATTTCTGAAGCTACTTCCAGGCCTCAAGACTGCTTAAGCAGATGAGAGCCCTGCCTATTTCATATTCATATGTGGGCAAATCTTTTACTCGAATTTACACATGCTTACAAAACACCAGAAGTAAAATAAGAATTCAGAGTAATTCATGATCTTGGTGTTCAAACTAAAGCTCAATTCACCCTAAAAGTCCACCAGAATTAGTACCTTTCACAGTGGCAGCATGTATATTAACATATATACATACATACATACACACACACACACACACAATATACTTTATTGTCAAAGGCATTAGTTTGAAAATGCATGTGGAGTTTGATCTTAGCATGTAGTTTGGAAAAAAGCTAATTTTATTCAGATATTTTACAGGACTCAATACGATGGGCACAATTTTGGTTCAAAAACTGTGCTCAAGGAAAGAATTTTTAAAATGAACCCTGCCAGGGCTGGAGAGATGGCTCAGAAGTTAGGGTACTTACCAGGTTCATTTCCCAGCACCCACATGACCCACATGACAGAGTCCACCTCTGAAGTAAACCAAAGCCTCAGAGGTGGACTCTAATTGTCTAAGCATGCCCCAATGGAAGCCAGAAAAGTCTAGTAAATATAACTGTCTTGCTACAGAATGCTAAACCAAAATGGATTGCTTTTCATGCTCAGATTGTCAAATACCCTAAATACCTCCCAAAGCCACATTAGACAGCTTTTTAAAATTACAACCATGCCTACAAAAATTCCCATTTTGGGGAATTCTCATTTTTCCTGCCACTGTAATTAATGTTAATGAATTGAAACAACAGTATACTCAGTTCCTCTTTTTGTGTGCTGTGTTCCTATGTGGCCTATGTTTGTTGGGTGCATATGCATGTTATATGTGCTTGTGAGTATGGAATCCTGAGGTCAAAGTCAAGTGTCTTTGTTGACCATCTTATTTTTTGAAAAACTGTCTCTCACTGAGCCTGAAGCTCACCAACTGGCTTAACTGATTGGCCAATGAAGTTCCAAGGATCCATCTGTCGCCCAGCCACTCCCAGCACTGTGGTTAGAGATTCACTGCTGTACCCAACTCAGTGCCCAAGTTTTAATGTGGGTGCTGGGAATCAGAAAACTCATATTCTCAACTGAGCCATCTCTACAAGTCCCCTCTGTCCTTGTCTTTTATGAGTTGCTGTAGGGAGAAAAGGGGCAGTCATCCAATATGCTATCTTTCCTGAAAATACTACTATTGCTGTATGCAATTTTAATTGAAGATCCATTTAAACTAATTAATTCCCAAGAAATTTACTTGTTAAATTCTAGTAGTAAATACATACTATTATAACAAAAATATTTGTAGTAAAACATTAGTCTTAACAAGACAGACTTTTAAAACCTTTCCAGACAAATTCAGATGTGGTTCAGCTTATCCTATAGAAAAAGAAGTATTATATCTCTATTACATTTCAATGAACAAGATAATTGTTTTTTGTAAATTTAAAATAAGATGGACTAATAATGTTGCACGAATACCTGCTTGAATTTGTACCCTGAAAGTTGATGTTTCACCTGAAAAAAATTCTATGTACTATTATAAAAATGATTCAGAATTTCACCATATTTTTGAAATAGTAATTAATATCATTGCTCTTAATTGTTTTTGTTTAATCATTCCAAAAAAGCAAGGTATATTTAAGAATATCTTAAAATATAATTTATCTTCAGAAAAAAATATGGATGTTGAATTTGCTAGAAAGTATTCCAGTCAAAATTTATAAAATCACAAAGTTTAAAAACCTCTGATTTAGCCAGGCGTGGTGGCGCACACCTTTAATTCCAGCACTCAGGAGGCAGAGGCAGGCGGATCTCTGTGAGTTCGAGGCCAGCCTGGTCTATGTAGTGAGGTCCAGGTCAGCTGGGGCTACAGGGAATCCCTGTTTCAAAAAGACCAAAAAACCCCCTCTGATTTAAGGTCAGGTTGAGGTTGTCTCGTTTTTTCCCCCCACTCTTCATTCTAAATACTGTTGTTTTCCCTAAACCAGTGTTAAGACTTTAAAGACAATGAAGTTTGTGTTTTTATGGTCCCCAACTATTTACCTCTGCTGCTGCAGCACCAAAGCAGCCAAAGATGATAAATCAATAGAAGTGGTTACATTTGAATAAAATGATGTTAAATTAAAAAAGAAAAAAAAAGGCTACAAGGATAGCTTGCTAAGTAGGCCCTGGCCTAAAGAACAGCTTTTTAAATTAATGACTGCTCAGAGACTATTATTTCAAAGTTAAGTTTCTGAAGCTTTTTAGAAAGGAAGTGGTTGTCATAGAGAACCATGCTTTTAGTGCATACCTGAGCTGGGGGCATGACAGTTGCAGGTAAGGGATTAGAAATCATAGGTCCAAAAATGTCGAGATCATCATTCAGGGCTGGCACTGTGGCTGTGTTCCCATTGGTCACTGGCACCTCAGCAGGGCCATCTGAAAGGAATATAGCCATTTGTCAATATAGAATCTCTTAAATTACATAAAGTACGGTATTCTTTTAAAAAAAATTTTTTTTATCATAAGAACAATTCCAAAGTCAACAAAATGTATGTTCTTTTCTGCCCCAGGATCCATCTCCTTCCCAAAGAAACAACTTTCAGTTTTGCTTATTCTCCCAGAGATAAGCTGAGAAACCAGTGGGTGAAATCTCCAAACCCCCTTTTAAACAGTGTCATGCTACTCACAATATTTTGAGACCGACTTATTTTTTTTTTTTTGAGATCACGTATCACTTTTAGCTACTTTGAAAATAAACTGTGGTGACTTAAAAATATCTCAAATGTTGTATCTTAAAAGTAACAATAAGGAAAAATCTGGATTAAAAAAAGAAAACACAGGCTGGAGAGATGTCTCAGTGGTTAAGAGCACTGGCTGTTCTTGCAGAAGACCTGGATTTGAATCCCAGCACCCACATGGCAGCTAACAACTGTCTGTAACTCCAGTTCCAGGGGTCTGTTGCCCTCTTCTGTTCTCTGCGATGACATAGGTGCACTTACACACATGCAAGACATTAAATAAAAATAAACAAAAAAACAGTATTTAAATTGATTATACAGGAAACATTTGTAAAACTATGAAATAAAACAAACACAGCCACTTTTAGTGATGGCAGTGCCAAGACACAGAACTATTCATCGAAAGGAGCTCGGAAAGAACTTCTTGCTGAAAAACTCAAAACAAAATTAATTTCAAAATTCAAAAAAAGTATGTCTCCTTTTCATGTTAAGAAACAAGCAGTGTGCAAGGCGTGAGGAGTGGAATCTGGAGTGACACACAAAGGAGCATGTGCAACGTGCTCAGGAAATGAAGCATGTCACACAGTTCTGCTTTCTTTGGCCACACCAGGTAAGCGTTCCAAGCATCACAACTATGACCCCAATCAATCTCTGTCTTGGTCTCTGAGTGCTGGATATGGAACCCAGGGATGTGCACATATTAGGCAAGGAACTCTATCTTCTGAACCTTAAGCCTCAATCATTCTACTTTGACAATTTACAATCTCATTTGTTCTCTCTGATTGATCAAATCCCCCTCAAAGGTAAATCAAACATTTTTCAAAAACCTTTTCAATTGCTTCTCGGCCTTTTGGCTAAGATCAAAATCCTTTTCAATATTAAACACTATGTCTTATACGAAGTAGATACTCAAATATTTGACAATTTTAATGGAAGGTCTTCCAGTTATTATGTATTTCTATTACAACCCACAGAAACGTATAAGTATCTTCTTCATAAGCATAAAATAATCTTTTATTTCCTTCTTTAAGCTTTAGTGAATTACAAAGAGTATTAGAATCAATAAAATATTTTTT